TCCATTTTGATTACATATACATCAATATATTACAATATATTTATGATTATGTATGTATACACCTGATGGTCAACCATGATCAAGACATAGTGTTCAGTGTAATGAGCTGATTGATCTATTGATAGATTTAGTTGAGTCACTTATTATGTACAACAGGATGCATAGCATAAAAATATTCCATCTAGAAGTTAAAATTAGGAGTGTGCAAATGCCAAATTTTAAAAGTAGACCAAGTTTTTGTCTTGACTATAGTTTGAACACTTTAATTTTTTTTTCATTTGATAAGCTTGAGAAAGTATACTATTATGACACAGGTCAGGTGTGCTTTATATTAATACCACTATAAGAAATTTAGAGTGTATTATGAGGAAGCCCATTTTAGACATTGATGTCACTTCTTTTTCATGTTTTATGAAAGTGAGAAATATTTATGCTATTGAATTTTTCAGATTTTGGCAGAAGCATTGTCTTGTTAAGTGACTATTAAGCCGTTAAATTAGCTCCTGAAGTGAAAAAGATTAAATATTCTGGAAGTGCAGATTTCTATTTTATTAAGAAGTCTAATAAGAAGACATTTAAATGCCCAAGAAAGTAGTTTGTTACACATTTTGTGTGAAATCTTTTAAGACTTTAAAATGAAGAATCTCTTGCAACCAAATTTTGTTTCAATTGATGAAGCCGCATACATTTTATTTGGAAATGTTAATTGACAACCAGAGATTTTTGGGAAGCAGCAGTCCTTGTCGAGTAAATGGACACATACAAGAGACAGTTCAGTGTTGAACATCGTTTTATGCTTTGTTCAAAGAAAAATGTTTGGTCCTTTTCTGTGCCATACCTATTGTGACTGGTGTGATGTACCTAGACAGTTTGGAGGAATTCCACATGCCGATTCTGGAAGTATCATGATATGCTGTTCCAACAAGATGGAGCACTGCCACATTTCCATGAATAAGTGACACACTTCTTAAACTGAAGGTTTCCAGAGAAATGGATTGGTAGGTGTGGGCCTGTCAGTTGGCCACCTAATTTCGCTGACCATAGAGATATGTCAAGGATGCTGTGTTCTTGCCACCATTGGCTACCACTTGCCATAATTTTGCAATAGGATAAGAATTGCACTGTCTCAGATATAAATGCTGGGCCACTCTTAATGCCCTCATTGAACATTTATAAAATGTAGCTTATAAAAGCTTGATCATACAACCTGCTCAAATGCATTTATTTTTCATCCCTATGCCCATTAGTTTATGAGCTATGTTACGGCAAAATGGTGTGCGTTTTGTGTGTACACCGTTTAATAAGGAGCTTGTGGTTTACAAATATTAACGTCACATATTGTTAGGGTAGTGTAATCAAGGATGTTAGAATAGGCTGCACATGAATTTCAGTTGCGAGCAACAATAAATGCATACAGAATACTGTAGAGGAAGTCTCTTTTAAAGTGGTCACATGGAAGTCTGAGAAGGATATAATTAACATTAAGCTGTGTTTAGGATAATGTTTTATTAGGCTGATAGGACTGGTTATGGTGGGCTGTAGTGTTGAATTCTTGGGTTGTACTGCTGGAGGGTTAGTATATACTGAGTAAGGTAAAGGCAGTGACAGGTGTCATGAAATATTTTAGCTCTGAACATCAATTTGCCATGTAGCATTCATGATATTTAGGTATAAAGGGTAAGGTTCCCAGTGCTTCCAGGCAAATGAAGGTGTAATATCTCACAATAGGCCTTTAATAGCTTTTGTATAGTGTGTATATCTCATATATGGTGAAGTTATCTCAAAGGCCGCACCATAGCTTAAGCGTTTAGCCGCTGGCTTCCCACTGCTGTGGTCTAGTCAAGTGGGATTTGTGATGGACAAAGTGGTGCTGGGGCAGGTTTTCCCCGAGTACTTCGGTTTCCCCTGCCAATCCTCATTCCATCAAATTCTCCATAAGCATTATCACCAGTACAGGTACAATAGGACATATGGAAGCCGACATGCCGACGGGACCTAATATGGATTCCACCTCACACTATATGAAATCTTAACTATTGTAATCTACTGTAATCTGTTGTAAACAATTTAAGTATTGTAACTTTATTCTCTTATTGTAATCATCCAATGTACAGTAACTGACTTGTCCTATATCATATAACAATGATCTATAGAGACAAATAAGTTACCAACACAACAGTTAACACACTCTCCCCAGTTCTAGAATTTACCCTGTGATTTATTTGATCTCTATCCAACTTGTAATGAAAATGGTTTTGAAACTGTAAGAACAATCATCATGATTATAATTCAGCCTGTACCTGTGGTTTTAGAAATAAATTTATGAAACACTTGTATATTGATTTATCCTGTTTTTAAGGTGGGCTGAACTATGAGTAGTAACAGCCAACACATAATCTTGGAAGACAAGGCATAGGTGGATGATTTACAATGAAATTGATTATGTTTAGTGTGAAGAGAATTGAATGGTCCACTGGCTGACTTTTATCATTGCAATTGTAACCTTTTGATCTAGTAACATAATGCAGCGGTAATGAGAATTATGAGGTTGTATGTAAATATAGTGTTAATTTGCAAATAGTTGAGAGTTCAACTAAAGAACCACCTTCTTTAATTCGTCAGATTTTTCTGACAGTTTTTATGACTTCTTCCAAACTTGTTTCTTGGGTGGGAGGTGGGTGTCATTTTGATGGTCCAGGTGGTATCTCATTAGGGTTTTGTGTATCTGCGTTACATCGAGGATGTCATTTACAACAAATACAGTATTATTCTTTACCTACCCAAGGTGTCCTTATGGAATCAGTAATAAAATTTGTTCAGTTATTTTAGTGCCTATTTCCTTTTTATAACCGGTCCGTACTCCCACTTTTTCTCCAATATCTGATGAATGCAAAAATCTGATCTGTAGTTGATCTGGTACGCTGAAACCCACACTGATGATCCCCAATAAGTTCATCTATGTATGGACTTAACCTTGAGAGAAGAATATTGGATAAAATTTTGTATGAAGTTAATAGCAGTGATATCCCCCGAAAATTACTACAGTCAGTTTTATCACCCGTCTTGTGAACTGGTAGAATAATATATACCTTCCACTGTTGAGGCAATTTTTCCTTATGCCAAATAGAAGTAATTAGTTTATGGATCTTAGAACATAATATTTCGCCTCCTGCTTGAAGAAGTTCTGCCAGAATTTGATCACTACCTGGCGATTTATACTTTTTTCTATTTTGCAATAGCAATTTCAACCTCAAAAGGGCTGGCATCAGGTATTACTGGCTCAGATGTGTGCATTACTATCTGCCTAACATCACTGACCCTATGTACATTCAATAACTGAGAGAAGTAGTTCTTCCACCTATTCAAAATGTTGTGGGAATCTGCAAGCAAATCTCCATTCTCATCCTTCACTAAATTACTTTTAGGTTTGTAACCCCTCTTAAAGTAATTTATTCCTTTGTATAGGTCTCTAATATTCTTGTTCTTACTGTTCATTGCAAGCTCATCAATTTTGTCTTCAGATATTCCTTCCTCTTATTCCTGAAATGCCTACTGATTTCGCTTTACCTTATCTTTATCTGATTGTCAGAATACTTATTCTGGTGTATGGTGCAGGGAATAAGGCAGTCCAGGCTTCACTCAACAGCTCTCTTATGCCTCATAATTGAAAAGGCCAAGTTGTCCTTGTGCTTAACTAATGAAGCACTATGCCATGAAGACACGGGGAAGTGGATGTGTAGATCCAAATTTTCTTGACCTCTGCAGTAGTTGGAGGTGAGTGGTAAGCTTCACGCCCCGGCTGCCTTACCCCCAAAGAAATCATCTGCAATACCCATTGGAGTGGAGACTGAGTAGGTCCAAGAGCCGGTTTGGACGACGTGGAGAAGAGAAAATTCTGTACCCTATCGGGACTTAAAACTCCATAGTTATGAAATAGAGCATGTAATGCTAATTTTTTTTCCCAAGAAAGTACAAAATGGTAAAATGAGAGTTATTCGGAATGTAATCTGCAACTAATATAGGAGA